CCAGGTCCATGGCAGGGATGCTGGATCCCAGAGAGGGATCCCAGGTCCCAGAGAGGCATCCAAGGTCCATGACAGGATGCTGGGTGCCAGGGAAGGATCTGAATTTGGGGTGACAAACCCCAGGAGCTGGTCTCTCCCCCCTCCACATTCTACCCCCTCCATGGGGCTCTCAGGGAAGCTCCTTTTGGGGGGGTCAGGGCCCGGCTGGGCTTTTGAGTGACAGCCACATTCCTTCGCCCTGATTTTATTCGTTAGCAGCGTTTGGCCTGGGCACAGAGACAGCTAATGAGGGACTGAGTTTATTGCAGTTTGATTTTTCTGTTAAAACAATACAATAAAATAAATGCACTTGGAAATCTGGTATGTGTTTGTATGTAGTAGATTTATGGCTCTGGAGGCTTCCAGAGAGACGCAGCCTTTCATTCCCTTCCTTATTGGAACAGATCATATTGCAGAGTTTAAAGGGCTCTGGAGTTGTGATTTATTTGAAGGGAGAAACTAGGGAAATCCAACTATCTGTTCCCTGGCTCAGATCATCCAGTAACTCCCCGGCCAAGGGGACGGATCTGCACCTCCTCCACAGCTTTTTTTTTTTTTTTTAATTTTTCCCCTCCTGTCGCTTACATTATCCCGCTCTAAATATATCACCGAGACAGGGCTGACTCCTGACCTGGGCTTCAGCACCTCGCCGAGGCTTCCCCAGCCCTTCCCGGAATCCCACAGATAAATCACCCTCCTGGAGCCCTTTCCCAGCATTTCCACACTGCTCACAGGACAGGACCCACGCGGGGCCGGACACTGCCTTGGTCCAGAGCAGAGACCAAGGCAGAGAGCTCCTTTTCATCTCCAGGCTCGGGTGATAAATCCACACCACCAGTCCCTGGTCCCATTTGAGGGATCCCTTTCCCCCCTCCCCGGGCAGAGGAGAGCGCAGGGCTTGGATCCAGGTCAGGATTCGTGCCTGGAAGCCTTTTTCATGCATTTTCCAACCCACAGGTCCAGTCTCGTTCCTGCAGCTCGGCCAGACCCACTGATGGGGGGATGATGCTGCGGCTCCTGCACCCGAGAGGGACCAGGGCTCCTGTGGCCACTTCCCTCCCACCCCCACAGAGGAAAACCAGGTTTTTTGCCCCTCTGAGGTTTTCTGCACCCCTGGGATGAAGCACCCCAAAGGCAGTTGCAGGGACAACCGGAGCATCACCCCGACGGCTTGACACTGGGTGCTGCCGTGGTGCACCCCAGCACCATCCCAGTCATCCCAGTGGTTCCCACTGGAAGGAACAGGGTGAGAGTGGTCCTCCCCGAAAAAAAAAGCCCCAAAATGGGCTTTTTCTAAAGCATTTATCTTTAGAAATTCTGCGTTTTGCAGGCAGGAACTCTCTGGGTTTTGGTGCAAAACCCCCTCCTGCTCCTCCCTGGTCCTGGGGACCTCTGGGACATTTGGGAATGACCAGTTTGGGTCCCGCCAGCAGCTTTCACCTTCCCATGGGAGATTTCCCTTCTCCTCCACCGTCACCACCTCTGCTGTGGGGCAGAAGAGGGAAGGGAAGGATGTTCCCGACTCGGGGTGGGGGGACCCGGCTCTGCCGGCCGCTCTCCTCCTCCCACCCCAGCTCCATCTCGGCTTCTCCAGCCCCTGCTTTTCGTGGGGTATTTCCACCCCCCCGCGCACAGCCGGGGTCTGTTTGCCATTAGCTCCCCCTCCTCTGCCCCAGGAGTTGATCCGAGTGCTAATTCTCACGCATGTTTCGGTGTTTCGGGTAAATCTACTTTCTTTCCCCGGGATGAATTGTGGTTTCCAAGCGCCATTAATCATTTCCCTTTAGAAAACAGCGTCGGGGGCGGGAGGGGGGGGGGGGAAGAGAAGGGGGGG